ACCCACCACCAGCACGTCTCCTCTTGTTTTAGATAAGGGTTTTTTAAAGCCTCTTTCCACAATGCAAGGTTATCTAAAAGGCGGGACCTTCAAAGTGAACTTCTGATGAGCGCATGATGAAACATTTTATTTATTATAATCATTTACAAAAACAAAACAGCCAATTTCTCAAATGTCTCTGCGGTCTCCGTGTCTCATTCCCCACTTTCCCTCCCCCTCCTCCGCCTCTCCCTCGTCCTCCTCAAGAAGTTTCATCACCGTTCATGATATTATTATTTGTGTGTGTGTGTGTGTGTGTGTGTGTGTGTGTGTGTGTGTGTATGTGTGTGTGTGTCCATGTGTCAGTGTCTGTGGAGAGAAGAGAGACGAAGTCTAGGTGTATTGATTTGGTCATAATATTTCAACGGCGATTTCTGGGAAAACATTACTATCGTACCATATTTGGGCAACTCTTATAATAGCAACAAACTCATTTCTGTTTTGTAGGCCAATTGCTTCACGAGACAGATGATATAGACGACACAGACCCAGTAACTCTTTTTTTGGTTATGTCTGCTTCAAACTGAATGAAACGGAAATTCACTGATAAAAAACATGATAGTAAGCTTAAAATGACATTATAGTGTAAAACCACAATAAATTAGCGACAAGTTCTGAAAAGATAAAAGAAACAAACGCAGTAGTTTAAGCTTCTGTGGCTACTTTCACCATCACATTACCACCCACACAAAAAGAAGCCATTGATCGTTGTTTCCAGCTTAACCCTCTCAACTGATAAACCCACCCATTTTGCACGATTGAATATATATATATTACATGACTGATCTTACTTATCTTAGGTAGGCCCTAAACAAATAATAATTAGTAACCGCTGGAATCAGACCATATTTGTTCTTTATCTAATCAGTTCTTTTAAACTGCAAACACGACCCTGTTCAAAACTCGTTTCAGATGCTAAATATAAATATGATCTAAATATAGTCCCTTAGTCTCTTAGTTTCTGTAACAGCATTATGATTTTTTGCCAGTCAATCGAAAAAAAAATTCTGAACTTAATCAACTTTTGTTATTTAAAAAATTGTAATTGACCATCAGTCTGTTTGATTTTGAGTTTCGGCGCAGGTTGATAGCTGCTGCAACTATTTTCTTGTTTACACAGCTCATTTTGATACATAGGCTGAATATTTTTTCTTAAGACAAGGGAAACAACTAAGTTTATTGCTATCAACTGTCGTGAATTATAATGATTCTTTCCCGTAGAGCGTGAACTAACTTTCTGGTAATTCAAGTTTCCTACTACTACCGTATTAGTCCGAGCGCCAGATGAAAAAGCTTGTTTTGCCTCATAAAGTTTTTTTCTTTGGTGATTCTAACTGAGTTTTCATTGCTGATTTCAAATCTAATGGGGGCCAAGTGCTAAGCTTTGGGCATTTTTGTTTAAAAGTGAAAATCCAAGATGGCCGCCGTAGAATTTCGAGTGAAAGATGTTGTGACGGATATCGTCAGCATTTAAAGACATAAAAATGTACAAACTTAATT